TGGAAAAAAAAATCAATTTTTTTTAAAGGAACATAACTAGAATTGATTTTTATATTCAAAATAAGAAGGAAAAACTTAAATGGAAGAGAAAAGGAAAAACGGGTCGTCAAACGAGGCGGGTACCCGCGGGTGCAAAATGGGTCGGGGGCGGGTTCTAAAATTCCAACCCGCAACGGGTATGGGGCGGGTGTGGGGATTGCGATACCCGCCCCGTACCCGCCCCATGGCCATCCCTAGTAGAGATCACTAGTAAGTAAGAAAAACTCCGTAGGGACTGATTTGCAATTTAAATGGTGGTTTAGGGACTTGAGCGTAATTTCCCCAATCTTAAAATCCCCAAATGTACAACAAGGATATTCGAAATTTCAATTGCTCACATTTCAGCTGTTGAGTCCAGATCACAGACAATTGCTCGAAGCACTGTCCTAACATCAACAACTGTTCCTCTTCAAATTCAATTCAATAGCTCAAATCTGCGATTAATTCTTCCGATTTTGATTTTCTGATAAATAAATTGATCGTATGGAGAAAAAAGAGAATACAGACGAAAAAAAGGTGGAAGAAGAAGAAGAAGTAGAGGCAATTGAACTTGTTCTTTTTCATGTTTCCGAATGCTACGTTTACATGGTAATAATTTCATTCCAGCCCCATTTGATTTATTCAAATTGATTTTTTTTTAATTGGGGTTTTGGAGATTTCTGTACTCGAACAGTTTGGATTTCGGATTAACTTGAATTTGTTTATTTTTTCACTTTTCTTTACTGATGATAAGTTATTTGAATAGTTATTGCAGATACAGAAATTTTGATGGGCGTTTATTTTGATTATGAATTTGCATTAACATGTTTTTAATTTTCCAGGTGAACTTTTAAGCTTATTTAAATGTGGGGTTTCAACATTTTATTTGGCAAAAAAAAAAAGAACACTGCGAATTATTTAGAAATTCTCGGTAAATTATATCCCTTAGAATCGAGAATACCATTACATTGAAACTAAAAAAGCCCCAATTTCAGGGAAAAAAATAAGGGTTTCGAACAATCGCCATCTTTAAAAATAATCTAGCTATCGAGTGCTAGAAAATGTTTTAGTACATAAAGAATCACAAACTTGGTTTGGTTGTAACTAGCTTATAAGCTGTCCAGAAGCGGTTTAGAATAGTATTAGAAATGATACGGTTTGATAAAAAATAAGTTTATACATCGTTTCTATGAAATATTGAAATGCTGTATATGCCACATAGGCGTTCGACGTGTTCACATTTTCTGTAATAATAATAATAATTGAATCGAGAAGAACAGGATAATCAGCCCCGTATGGATTAGCCTAAATCAAGTCAATCTTTGTTTGACGTTTTTTATATTTTGCTTTTTAGGTCAGTTTGTTATAAACCTAATAATTCGAATAATTGATCTTACAGATTCCTCCACGGAAAACCGCAGCTTCTTACAGGTACCTAATTTACTTGTTGACGAGTAGTTTAAAAAAAAAAAACTTTATTTTTCGTCTTTTCACTTGCTTTTTGGCCAAATTGACATGAACTAAAAAGCGAATACCCTCCTGCGCTCGTTTCTTTATTTGGCGGGTTTGAAAAAAAATAAAAACATTTGTCTTTCTGGTAGGGCGGACGAATGGAATGTCAACAAATGGACGTGGGAAGGCACTTTGAAAGTCATTAGTAAAGGAGTAGAATGCATTATTCGGTTAGAGGATAAGTCAACAGGTCGATTTCTTTAACTTCCTCCATTTTATATCTATTTCTTTTTTTTTTTTTTTATTTATTTATTTTTTTATTTTCATGTGCGTCTGGATTCGTCGTATCACTTAATCACAGTTAATCTGTACGATAGGTGAATTGTATGCGCGGGCATTTCTGAGAGACGGGGAGCCGCACCCAGTAGAGGCTGTTATTGATAGCAGCAGGTATTTTCGAGAAAAATAAAAAAATAAAAAAATTGTTGATTGTTAAGCGTTTATGTAGTTTCTTTGTCGAGACTTCTAATTTTGTTCCTTTGCAGATATTTCGTTCTTCGGGTTGAAGAGAGCATTGGTAATCTAAGACACTTCTCCTTCTAAATTATTTGCTAATTTTTTTACGAGCTCTGTTACTGTTCATTTAATTAACTTATTAAAAGAACGTAAATACGGTTGCATGCATTAGATCTTATTCATGCATGCGGTTTTGTGTGCATGTGCAGTATCGGGTTCTTGATTAAATTACAATGTAGTTCGTACCTTTTGGATTGCTAAAACAAATACCATGTTTGTACAGTTTTTAATATTAATGATGTTTACTTACGCGGGTCATTGTTATTCACGCTGTAAGGCCTCGTTTGGTTGGGGAGATTAGCCATGATTAACTAAATAATTGGGTTTTGTTTGATGTTTGGTATCCCCAGTAACTTGGCGGGTCGACCCGCAAATATTATGTTATCATGGCTTATCTTGTCTTCTCGGCATGTTTCTTGTTGAACCTTCCGAGGTCCAATAAAAACAATTGGGTTTCATTAGATTATTTAGTCTTATCTTGGCAACCAAACGAGGCCTTACAGTAGGTAAGTTTCGTAATATTCATCCTGTGGTTTATACGTAAATAATTTCCGTGATGACATACGTAGGGGTTATTTCATTCCACGTGGCTTTATTGAATGAAGTGTTTCACTTACATAGAAATCAACTTCAAATTCAAATGCAACTTTAGTCAATCTTTTATCATTCTCTTGTAGTGTTTGCAACTTCACATTTTACCATTGACTAATTGAGTTTTTAATGGAGTAGTTTTAGCTACACTTTTTTTGTTATTTATCCTGGGTTAACGAATGCAGTCGAAATGAATCTAATGCAGGCGGGCGCCTTCGCCATGCTTTCATTGGTCTCGGATTTCGAGAAAGAACTGAAGCGTATGACTTCCAAGCTGCCCTTCATGACCATATGAAGTACTTCCTCTTCCTTATTCACCTACTTATTAAATTCCTTTTTTTTTAATTAGATTTTAGGGCAAATTACGGCCAACCCCCGAGGTATGGCCAAATTACGAAAAAAACCCTCTTGTTTGGGTAATTACAGCCACCCCCCTCCTTTTAAATATTTATGTAATTCGGTTATTTACCGAACTAAATCGTATATTCAGTTCGGTTCGGTACACGGTATGAAATGTTGGCGTACCGTACCGATTTAACATCCCTAAATTTACCTCTGGAAGGGTATTTTCGTAAGATAATTACCCAAACAGGAGTGGTTTTTCGTAATTTGACCATAACTCAGGGGGATGGCCGTAATTTGCCCTTAAATATTTATTAATTCGAATTGTAATATATAGGTACCTGAATAAGAAGAAAACTGCAGAAGAGATGGAGCAACAGTACCAGCAAACATCTTCAGTTGACTATAGTTTAAAAGATGGGGAGACTTTGGTGCTTCAGTTAAAAAATGTATGAAAAAAAATACAGAAAAAAAAAAATATCTTACTTTTTTTTTTTTTTTTTATATCTTATGAGTTCGAATTCTGAATGATACCATTTATCTTTGTGCTGTGTCGACAGAAAAGTGGGGGCGGCATAAAATCAAAGTTTTTCGAGCAGGGATTTAATAATCTTTCGTTGGAGGATAATAAGACGAAAAACGGAGAAAGCTCGGTTAGTATCAAACTACCTCCTCCGCCACCTGGACCCCTCTCCCCTGTTATTTCTCCTGAAAAGTCATCCTCGGAAGTTACTCTAAAACTTAGCCTAGACGAAAAGAAGGAATCTGAGTCGGAAAATAATCTACCGGATGAATCGGAATCTTCTAATAAAAAAGAAGCACAAGATATACCAGATGATGATTTTGGTGATTTTCAAGCAGCAGTGTAGTGATTTGAAATATATTAGCATATACTTTGTTTGTGCTTGTGAGTGTGCACACTGGTTGAATTTGTATATGATGGTTTATATTTGTTTCTATGTCTTATTTTTCTTGTTTTCTTACATTCCAACAGTTTGTTTTTCATTCATGTGACTAACTGGTGCAAGAAGAAAGACATTCGAAGTTTATGGGATTTTTGCTGTCTTAATGTCTTTGCCTATCACTTTACTTGCAGCCCTCTTTCATTTATTTAAAAAAAAAGATTATTAGTTGCTTGGGTTCTCACTTTGGGATGTGATACACGTCTATAAACTGAGCCCGTCAATGAAAGAGGTAGTAAAAAAGGAAGTCTTAAAATTGTTAGGCGCCGGTATGATGTATGCAATTTCTGATAGTGCGCAAGTCAGTCCGGTATAGGTTGTGCCAAAGAGGGTTGTGATGACGGTTATTGTTAACGATAAAAATGATCTTATTCCGTCTAGGACAATCACTCGGTGGCGTTTGTGTTTTAATTACCGTCTATTGAATGGAGCCACTAGAAATGACCATTTTTCCCTCCCTTTTATCGATCAAATGTTGGACAGGTTAGGACGATAAGAGTACAACTTTTCGCGATGGTTATTCCCTCCCCTTTATTGATCAAATGCTGGACAGGTTAGGAGGATTCGGGTACTACTGTTTTCTCGATGGTTATTCGGGGTACAATCAAATCTTAATCGCACCGGAAGACCAGGAGAAAACTACGTTTACTTGTCCCTACGACACTTCCGCATTTCGTAGGACACCTTTTGGTTTGCGCAATGCACCTGCTACCTTTCAACGTTGTATGATGTCTATTTTTCATAATATGATAGAAGATTTTCTTGAGGTGTTTATGGATGACTTTTCTATGTTTGGATCGTATTTCGATCATTGTGTGCATAACCTAGAACTTATTTTGAAAAGATGCAAAGAAACAATCCTGGTGTTAAATTGGAAAAAAAATCATTTTATGATTTTTGAAAGGTATTGTTTTAGGTCACAAGGTCTCGAAAAAAATTCTTGAGGTGGATAGGGCAAAAATCGAAATGATTGAAAATTTGCTTCCACCGAAAGACGTCGGGGGGTTTAGGAGGTTTTTTTGGGCATACTGGGTTTTATCGCAGATTCATTAAAGATTTTTCGAAATTGTGAAACCCTTATGTCATTTGCTTGAGAAGGAAACCACTTTTGATTTCATTTCTCCTTGGTTGCAGGCTTTCACGTTTCTCAAAGAGAAGTTAACCCAGTCACTGATTATGTTGACTTCCGATTGGGAAGAACCATTCAAAATCATGTGCGATGCAAGCGACAATGCTGTAGGTGCAGTGTTGGGACAAAAAAGGGACAAAATCTTCAAATCCATCTACGATTCCAGTCGTACACCTGATCCGACACAGAAGAGCTATTCAACGACCGAGAAAGAGATGCTACCAGTTATATATGCCATTGACAAGTTTAGACCTTATATCTTAGGTTCACACGTGATCATTTACACAGAACACGCAACCATTCAATACTTGTTCGTCAAGAAAGACGCCAAACCCCAACTTATTCAATGGGTGTTAATGCCCTAGGAGTTTGACTTGGAAATTATAGAGAAAAATGGAAGCGAGAACGTGATAGGCCATCATCTATCCAGACGTATTCTTGACGAGGTCTGAGTGGAGGAAAACATTTTATGAGTCATTTCTAGACGAGCAACTGCTCGCCATTAGCATTCGCACTTCGTGGTATGCCGGTGTAGCCAACTTCTTGGCCAGTGGAACATCCTAGATGGTCTATCATATCACTAGAAGAAGAAATTCCTCCACGACAGTCGTTTCTATCTTTGAGAAGAGCCATTGTTGTTCAAAACATGCCCAAATTGGGTAATTCGACGATGTGTACCAAAGGCTGAAGGATGATACCTCATTCAGTGTCACTCGTTACCTCGTGCCGGATATCACGGGGAGTATCGCATAGCTGCCAAAGTTTTATAATCAGGATTATATTGGCCAACCCTATTCACAGACACTTACGAGTTTGTAAAACGTTGTGATCGAGGCCAACGAAGTGGAAATCTTCCAACAAAAGTGAGATGCCACTAAACAACATACAAGAAGTAGAATTCTTTAATGTCTGGGGCATCGATTTCATGGACCCGTTTCCACCATCGAATATGGAAAGCTCTATATCCTAATCGCCGTGGACTATGTGTACAAATGGATCGAAGTCATTGTCACCACTGCCAACGATGCTCAGAAGATCCTCAAATATTTTCGAGGTTCGTGACACCTAGGACAATCATAAGCCATGAAGGATCCCATTTCTGCAACAAAACTGTTCGCCAATCTTACGAACAAACTCGGGATAAGACACAAGATTTCGCTAGCTTACCATCCGCAGACCAATGGCCTCGCTGAGCTATATAAACGAGAAATCAAGCAGGAGACTGTGATCACGAACCAAAACAAAATGTGACTGAGAGTCGACTGTCACAAAATCTGTCATTGATTCGTCATATATTGGTTATTGAAAATTCTAAATTTCAGTAGTACATTCAGTCACATATTTGTCACTCATTCGGTCACTACTGGTGACGGATTTAGGCTGTCATAAAATATCCGACACAAAAGCCCAGTTTTATTGGCAGTGGTTGCACTTTGGGCGTGTCAGACTGCATTGAAGACACCGATTGGGATGTATCCTTATAGTCTTGTGTTTGGGAAAGTGAGCCACCTTTAGATGGAATTGGAGCACGTAGCATGTTGGGCCGTCAAAAAGTTCAACTCTGACCAGTCGGCCGTTGGTGACCTTCCGTCTGCTCCAAGTTAATGAAATGGAGGAATTCCAGAACGATATGTACGATAACGCCAAGATTGACGAGGAAAAGACAGAGATTGTTACATGTTTACGAACTTTGTTTGTTTTCAATTATTAGGGTTAATCACTATTTTAACCAATTACGATCGGCTAGATAATATAACGATAATATAATTACATTAGTCAACATCTGAATATGTAGGTCATATGTAGGTCCCTGTGAATCGATATATGAAACTACTGTTCTACAAAATGTGATATTGTATACTTGCGGTTATTTATACATAAGGGAAATGCGTACCAGGAAGTTGTATCCTCTCTCTTTATTTCTCGCTGATATTTTGTTGACTTCAGTGTTGTGAAGATTAGTTATTATATTTTTTTTCCTAAATTGCTCTTTAGATTGAATAACACAACCTGTATGCAATACTACTAGTATTGTCTCCCCAAATATCACAACTAAATAATTTTTTTTGTTTGTTTGATTTTGCATTGCAGCTTAATGAAATTCATTGATCTTCTCCTTGAAGGTGTCAAATATCTTGTTGAAGTTGTAGACGAATTTGACATCTATTTCGAGCTATATCCGACTACATACTACACATTACTACACATTTCAATAGTTATATATAGTAACATGTAGTAACATATACATGCAATTGTATTTGTTGGTTACGAGTTGATTTATGATATATATATTTAAATCATGATTTTTTTGTTGGTGTCAATGAAGTTTTTTGTATATAAACGGTGATATATTCGTGTGTGTACGTAATTGGTCAATCATGACCTTGGGGTAAAAAGAAAAAATACAACTGCAAATAACTATAGTCATTTGTAGTTGTTTTCACTACTGTAAACATATCGAAAAATTCTTTTTTCAAAAAAGAAAAGAATAGATTAATGAGGAAATGATTTGTAGTCGTGAAAATAAATAGGTTTTTGTTAAAGAAAACAAAAAAAAAACAAAGAGCAAAAATGGCTATATTGCAAGTCCAAAAATATTAAATGCAATTGGCGGAAATAGGGGTGGTAAACGAGCCGAGCCGGCTCGCGAACTCGACGAGTCGGCTCGAAAAAAGCTCGAACTCGAGCTCGGGTTTTTCGAGCTCGAGCTCGAGCCCAAAATTAGTTGTTCGACAGCTCGCGAGCCGGCTCGCGAGCTGCCTTCTATTTTTTTTTATTTTTTTTTTCTTTTTACATATATATATATATATATTATTCTTCTTCTTCTTCTTATTATTATTATTATTATTATTATTATTATTATTATTATTATTATTATTATTATTATTATTATTATTATTATTATTATTATTATTATTATTATTATTATTATTAACTAAATAGTAAATAGTCTATAATAATAAATATATCTAGTATTTAAATAGATAACAAATAATAGAGTTCATTATTTATTTTATAATAAAACAAATCTATATTACTTAAATAATTCATAATAATATAAAATATTATAATAATAATAATAGAAAAAATAAAATATATATATAACTAGAGTTCATTATTTATTTTATAATTTTTTTTATTTTCCTATGAATAATTTTTAATAAAAAATAAAATGATTTTAATAAAAAAAATAAATAATAAAAAAAAAAATCAAATAAGCCTAGCTCGGGAACATGGACTCGAGCTCGAGCTCGAGCTGGCCAAAAGAGCCGAGCTCGGCTCGAGCTCGGCTCGTTCCCACTCCTAGGCGGAAACGCTGAACTAATGCAGTTGAGAGAAAATTATATATAAAGAAATATAGTACTTTAATTTTACTTCTCTAAGCGTATCTATAAAGATGTATTTAGCTTGAACTTTTCTCTAGTTTAATGAGACACCAGCAAAATAATATCATACCAACCCTATATATATATATATAAATAAATAACTGAGTTATTTTAATTACTAACCCGTTGAGAAAATCATTTGATTACTGAAAAGTCAAAAAGATCAGGCAGTTGTATGTTACCTCATAGCTCTTCCAATGAGTACGTTTGACTATTTCACAAATTATTTGTTTTTAGACTAATCTTCAATTGGGTATGCATTTTGTCAACTTGTCTACTAGCTATATATACTGATTCCTTGTATTTTAAGGTGAGACGAACAAACGGACCAAGTCTATATATTTAGGGTAAATTACAACCACACCCCTGAGGTATGGTCAAATTACGAAACCCCCCTTTTGTTTGGATAATTACAACCACCCCCTCAACTCCTCAAATTTAGTGGAATCTTCGAGATTATATGAAATATTATCACTTTTGTACCCGTTTTATCCTATTCGAACCCTACATTTTGAAGCAAGATGATCGTAATATGTGTTTTTTGGCTTGTATATATCGATTGTGGTGCATCAGAAACTGTATTTTTACA